GCCATATAGGTGATGTGCCTTATTTTAAGTTGTACTTCCAAATTAAAGTGATTGGTGATGATAATGAAATGACTAAAATACATGTTTCAAGATTTAGTATAATTTTAATTTAGATGTATATTGTACCAAAATAGATAATATGTATGTACTCAATTGAATAATGTTGACAAGAATCAGACAGATGATCATTTAGACTGTATCTCTTCTGAGATAGTATAACTTTATATTAGATATATATATAATTATATATTATATACGAGTAACATTTAGATAATCCTGACCTTAGATATATATGGTAGAACAGTTTAAATTGACCTTAAACACCAGAAAAACCACTATATATGTGTGTTGGGTCAACTTATAAGACATGAACATTACCTTCATCACAACATCTCATTCAAGGGTAGTGATTTAACACAAACATACCTTACAATACTATTTACTTCAAAACATCCCCCTAAGATGCAATCAAATTTTGTATAAATTTTCCTTCACTTTTACGATTTTTCAACTTATATTTATATTTATTCGCCGTCTTCACTTGGCTTATTATATTCAAATTACAATAAATAGCTTATTTTAATTTTATTTATGAATTGACATAATAATATAATTATGAATTATTGAATATTTTTTATGCAGACCTGGCTGGCCTAGAAATCTAGAATTGTCTCCTGTGATTGAGAACCGGAGGAGTAATATATGCGCCAACTCCCATTTGAAAATGTCCATCTCACATAGTGCATGACAGTACATTCTTGATTGCAACATCTTATCGTGATCAATGAATATCGAATTTGTGCTCCATCAAAAAATAAATAAAAATCAATCAACTTCTAATAATGCTTATCAACTAATTGTGTGGTGGACAATATAATAGTTTTGCATAACCTTGATTTATGGAAAAATCAACGCAATCACTATCAAAATGTGCATTATGTGTGAAATTCATCTTGTGACCATAGTCGTTTAAGCAGATAATGCCTATTGACATCTTATGTATCAGTGTATGGACATTGACTTTTTGTGTTTTAGTAGGTTGAGAAAGTATGTATGAACAAATATTACATACAGTTACGACAACACTATTTATATGTAACCCTATACTTACCATACGTTTACAATATTACTCAGACAAAGTATGTCCCCTTTCTCACATATATCATATATAAAAGTTCCCACCTTCTCACAGTAAAAAATGTTGACAGTTAATTTTCTTTTTTTTTTTAATGAAATATTTGACCCCTTTGAATGAAGATAACATATGCATATTTACTGTACAATAATTACCCCACCCCTCCCAAAGATCAAAACGAAAAAACAAAAGATGTATGATGTGAGGTTGCTTGTAGTAATGGAACCCAGCCATAAAGACCAAAAGCTAAAAAGAGTCCAATTATTTAGCAATAATGCTTTTCAGACCAGATAAGATATGTAATCTCATAACCATGCATGCTGATGTATGAAGGTTTTTTTTTTTTTTTTTTTTTTTTTTTTTTTGGTGAAAAAATAATGTTGTACCTTATAAAGTTGTCTTGCTTTTGAAGCTAAATGTTTCGAGGGAAAGTCTAGAAAGGAATGAGTGGGTGAAATATAATTTTATATAGTTCAATTTTGCTTACACACACTATTTTAGTTGAGTTCGTTAGTGTGATTTGTCTCTGTCTCATGTATAATTTGTGAACTATTAATTAAATTGAAGCCTGCTGCACATCATTGAGTAGCAGTGCTGATTTCTCTATCTCTCAAAAAACTGTATTGAGAAAAAATGTGCAATTTAAACTGATCGTTATGTTATATATGCAATTTGGGATGTCTAATCAGCCTATAGTCAACAATTGTAATTGCAAAAAAAAAAAAAAAAAAAAAAAAAAAAAAAAAAAAAAAAAAGGTCATCAATTAGGTTACTTCTATTGAGAAAGGTTTTGTTGACTTGACCCTCTTATCTTATTATGTAATTAATTTGGTAGCACAAAGTTCACATCTTAGTCGATGTTACGTTATTTAATTAGGCACCTTTATTTTTGGTTTTGTTGACTTGACCCTCTTATCTCAAAGGTGACAAAGCACCCCTAACGAATAAATAATTAACGTAATCTCATTTACACTTATAATGGTCATTTATTAATGAATATACGCTCCTAGGACAATAAATATTATGGAGTAGATAATATAATGATTAATTAAGTTTGATTGTTCTATATTATTATGATTACATAAGTTTAAACTCAAACTTAAAGTCCACTCAGTGTTCTTGTCTTAGAGATCGAGGAAGGTAAATTGCGAGATATCAATAATATTTTGCAAATCACGAACTAATTATGAATGTCAATTTTAGTATGAAATTAATAGGCTAGGCTGGCATAAAACTAACAAATTTACATACTGAATATTCACGATTTTACATATTAAATGGATATTTAGTATCTAAATTGCGTATTTTGAATTCAAACTCATACATAATGAGTCAACAACGCCTCCACTGAGACCCGATCTCATGACATCTCATATGGGAAATGTCACTACATGCCATCTGAGCACAAAATACCTAGCGGGGTCCATGGTATAATTGTTGATAAATGAGTAAGCAGGCACTTGAACTTTCCTCCGGTCCTTATCTCAAAAGGTTTAATGTTACAACGTGCCAAAAGGCCAAAGGTAATGGGCTTTCTGAAAAGCAAGCTAAGCATCCCATTTCTGACAACAAAAACATGTGCTTCCTATATTCTGATAGATCATCTCATTCCATTTTTGTTTGGGCGGCCAGGAAAACCGTAACCATGAACCATCCCGCACTTGTATAAAAGTTGTTACCTATCAATCGCATAGAATAGATAAATTACACTAAAAAGAAATTAATACGAGGAGTTTGATTGAAAGAAATGAGTATTAACATTTAGATTATGATATATTACAAAATTACCTATGTATCGTACCACAAGAGTGTCATCCCCACACTCCACTCAGCAAACCTGACTCAGGTTCAAACTACAAAGACAAGTGTTGAAGCTTTGTTACATACCGAAGCGATGATTATAATATTTATAACATGGGAAGACTACATACCAATCAAATGATGACTTTAGTCTAGCAAGCATATGTGTTTGAGAGTTGTGACACTATTGGGTGGAGTATCGACTATGTTGCATGTGGCAAAATTGACAAGACAATTCATGGAGAGTTTGTCACTGGCAATGGTGATGGGTTGTAATTGTAGATTCTATGCTGGGAATATTCACTGCTGGAAATCTCGCTGTTTCCGTCCAACATTTCCGTCCAACCGTAAGTTGGTCGGTATTTTAATAAAAATTTCAACTTCTTGTCGCTAAAAATGGATGGACGAAAAGTTGGTCAGACTTTCCGTCCAACGTGCGAGTGTTGGACAGAATTTCCGTCTAACGGAGGAGTGTTGGACGAAATTTCCGTCCAACCTGTGGTGTTGGTTGGTAAACCTGAATTGACTGATGGGTAGAAATTAAAAATAGTAGGTATTTTAATTTCCGTCCAATAACAATGTTGGACGGAAATTTAAATATTTTAGCTAAAAAAGTAAAGAAATACTGGAATAGTGAACACTAAATAGAGAAGCGGGAATATAAAACTTTGGAAGGGAAAAAAGAAATTTGGCAAAAGAGAACTTAGCAAAGATTTCCCGCTTCCATCATCTCTATTACGCAATAGTCTCCAGCAAAATTAGGGCTTCTTCCTCTCCAACCAATCGCCTCCATCGTTGGTTCCAGCAAAAATTTCTCGCTTCCAATCGCAAAATCAAAATAAACATACGTTCAGAGCAGAGACTTTTCGCATTTCCCCCCTGCCTTAGCCATTCACGCAAAATCAACGCAAGTCCGCCGCCCTTCCTCAGCCGCGACTACAGCCGATGGGACCTAAGACTATTCCGACGACACCGCCACCTCGCCATTCATTCCATTTCTGACGTCTCCTTTCGGCCCTGCCTTCTCCATTTTCGCCGCCCTTCCTCCTTTGACGACTACAGCCGACAGCGCCTGAGACCATTCCGACGACAATGCCCCCTTGCCATTCACTCCATTTACGAAGACGCCTGAGACCACAGCCGTTCTTCCTCCGTCGGAGCTCCCTCACTCGCCACCGCCACGACCCCGGAGCTGCCGATTCCTCCCAGCGACAGGTAAGTCTATTTATTTATTTTATATTTAATTTGTTTCAAGTTTTTTTAATTTATTTCAGATATTAGTCTCTATTGTCGATTCCTCCCCGCAACGCCTGGTGCAATGTGGATTGTCTGGTGGTAGTTTTGATAAGAGAGGTATCTTATTGGATGTCTTTGTCAATTTGAGTAGTATGAATTATTATCTAATCTATGTTGGATGTCAATTTAAACTTCAATTCTAGCCAGTTAAACTTGAGTAGTCTGAATTATTATAACTAAAGCAGTGTTTTATGTTTTATGCATAACTAAACATAAACCATGGTAGAACTGTGTGTGTGAACAAAATAGTAACTAAAGCAGCAATTGTGCATTTTGTTTCTGCTGCATATATTCAAGATATCACACTCCTTGTAGGTAACCTAGACTGCTAGGTGGTGCAGTATGTATATATAAAATGTAGGAAGATTATAATTTTTTTAGTTAGTGATTGATTGGGATATCAGAACCATGTGGTGTTGTTGGTAGGTGAGAGCAATCAACTTTCTTTCTTAACATATTTAGATTTGAGAAGTCCCAGGATGTAGTGTGTTACTTCTTTAATCATTCAAATTCACAGATTTTTATTTTCTTTTACTTCAATTCAAAAATTGAAATTTTGAGATAGCATTATGGATACTTTTAAGTGTGTTAAACTTAGCAGTTTTAAAAAGAAAAGTATAGAGTATAAAGTTCTGTTCGAAGCATGTCTTGTAAACTACCACTCTCCTCCATTTTGCATGAGCTTTATCTTACAAGGCAGTGATTAGGTTGTTCCCATATACATGTTTAGTTGCATTAGAGTATTGTGCACTAGTGTGTCTCCCTGTTTCCCTGATTCTTACTCATCTTTTAAAAGCTTTTGTTGGTAAAGTACCTCACTACTGTTGTATGCAGGCTTGTTTCCGCTGCCACAGAGATTATGCATATTACAAAAGTCTTCAGAGGGCTTCACTTATTACTCAATGTATGCAGGCTTCGCTCTCTGAAATTTAGTTCAATAATTTTATACTTAGACAGTTAGTGTGTTGGGTCATGAATGAGATATAGCAAATATATTGCAAACAAGGTCAATAATCATTAATATGCAGTACTGAGTGAGTCTCTTTAATAGTATATTCTAGTGCTTTGATATTCATACTGTTGAACTATCTTTAAAGTCAATATGTGAGAAGTGAGTGGTCTAGCTGTACTGAGTGAGTCTCTTTAATAGTATATTCTAGTGCTTTGATATTCATACTGTTGAACTATCTTTAAAGTCAATGTGTGAGAAGTGAGTGGTCTAGCTGTACTTGTGAATGGCATCAAGGATTTGGTCATTGAAGATGTTATCTCAACAAGAATAGGAGATGGAGTTGTGAAGCTTGATTCTGTTTTGAGAAAGCTAGGGATGACTGCTTGATTCTGTTTCTTGCTCAGGCACTGAGATTCATCGAGACAACAAGAGCTAGGATTGAGAAAGCTAGGGATGACTGCTTGACTTTTGATCATTAGCAACTCTTAGAGCTCCTCTTGGCGAGAACACGGTATGAATTTGAGTTCTATTTTTAAAATTAGGATGAAGATTTACTGATGTACACACTTGGCAAATGATTTATTGTACATCTAATAATTGCTCATCACTATATTTTAAACTTAAAAAGTCAGTTCTGATGTTTATTATTTGGCTTAATACACTCAATATATGTGCATTTGACTATGTGATATTCCATTTGTCTTAATACACTCAACACATGTGATTAACTAGAAATAGTGGTGGAGAAGTGTAGAAAGTTTTGCAGAACTTACATTCATCTATATCATCAAGAAAGTAAGGTCATTTTTGCTGGAAATCACTTTAGAAATGCATGAGTAAAATGTTTATTTGATCAAAGCCACCATCTTAAATTAGTTGCATTTGCAGGTATACCCATCATCTACACTTGATCAAAGATTGAAGTAGAAGGCTGTGAATATTGCATTGATCAAAGCCATAGAAGAAGTGTCGAATTTGAAGGCTTATTTAGGTGCATCAAGCATACTTAAGGAGTATATATTTTCATGACTTTTTTTTGGTGTATGGTATTAATAGTCTATTGTTGGAAGTACTATGAACATGACTATTTTTGTTGTAAATATTTTTGATGTTTAATATATTTTTAATTTGAAATTTAGTGCACGTGTTCATTAATTTGTTACATTGATGACATATAATTTATTAACAATACGTATAAATAAAATTATGGTAATATAAAAATAATATAAACATTCCATATGATTTAGAATTTTCCTACCAACAGTTGGAAGGAAATAACAAAATATAATATGTGAGTTTTCCGTCCAACATTGGTTGGAATTTCCGACCAACGCACGTAGTTGGACGGAATTTCTTACCAACATATGTAGTTGGACGGAAATCCTCTCGTTTTTAAGAATGGTGGGTTATTGTTCGAAATTTCCGTCCAATTTTATATGTTGGACGAAATTTCCGACCAAAAAGTAGAGTTGGACGAAATTTCCGACAAGCGTTTTTCCGAACGTTCAATTTGGTCGGTATGTTGGACGGAAACCTCGTTTCCGACCAATATATCGCGTTTTCCGTCCAACATTCGTTGGACGGAAAACGCGAGATTTCCAGCAGTGATTATGAGGTGGGGCTGTTCGAACTATAGATCTCAAGTTAATCCATTGGTTTGAACTTTGAAGTGACCAAACAAAAGTATTGGTCCTAGGCGGCTAGGCTAGGGATGCTACACTACAAAGTTTCACTAGCTTGCAATGTCATTTAGGTTGAACTTTTAGATAAGGTTGGAATTTGTTTAGCTTCGAGCCCACGTCTTTTTTTTTTTTTTTTTTTTTTGTGTCACAGAGGCTCGAACGTACAACTTACGCAATAACTTAGTGTCATTAGACCACAAAGTCTTTAGTCACGTGAAGTTCAAATGTAATTTTTTGTGCATAAAGAACTTAACCCAACTTCAGACCAATTTGGTGGAGGTCATCCTCAAATTGTTTGCAACTATAAGAGAGTTTTTAAGTATACTTGCTTGGAGCGTTATAATGTGCAACCGTATGCACCATGCATGGTGCACATGGTTGCAAAAATGACGTAGTTTGGACGTTTAACTTAAAAAAAAAAAGAAAACCTGTTTCGATTGCCGTAAACGGCGTTGTGTCGTGCATAATTTAAACTATACATTCATAACTTTATAACTATACATTCAGAATTGCATAACTACACATCCATAACTTCATAACTATACATTCAGAATTGCATGCATAACTACACATCCATTAACTTCATGACTATACATTCAGAATTACATAACTACACATCCACAACTTCATAAATATACATTCAAAATTTCATAACTACACATCCATAACTTCATAACTATACATTCAAAATTTCATAACTACACATCCATAACTTCATAACTATACATTCAAAATTTCATAACTACACATCCATAACTTCATAACTATACATTCAGAATTGCATTACTACACATTCATAACTTCATAACTATACATTCAGAATGTGAAATTATAAAATTATGAACATATGTTTATGTAACTAACGACATTCAAAAATGATTTTTTAAAAAAAGTAAAATGACGCCGTTTTTGTAACCGCATGGTGCACACGGATGCACAACATGCATAATTTGCCTGCTTGCTTAAACCATATAAAATTGGCAAATTATATTGTGGATCATAATCCATATTGTAACATGGGTCATGAATAAATATACATTTTAATATATTAAATTATACTGAAAGTTCATTATTTGATAGTATACTAGATAATGTATATTCAATACTCAAATAATGTACATTTAAAACATGAACCTTTAATTAGTGTATTAAAATGTACTTTTCTAGTATAATAAAAATATATCTTATGTCAATAGTTCACCTTATAAGGTGAACAATGGTCCATGATATAATGGTTGATGGTGACAATTTATATCATGGACTAGGGTTCACATGATGTTATGGACCTGAATTGAAACGATGAGGTATACAATTCATACTTGTAAGGTACGCAATTTCATAACATGAAATACAAAAAATCACGATACAAGACACATAGCATTATAGACCCTAGATTGAAACAATGAGATACAGAATTCATACATGTAAGGTACCAAATTTCATAACACAAAGACACATACACATGTTATATATTTACTTATTTTTTTAAATATGATTTAAGTACATAATTTGTATTTATAGGCGAAGTATTGCACAACACAAAACACATAAATTATATTTATGCACAAAAAGTCTTAACACAAAACAAATACACATGAACTAACGTCTACAGTGTAATATGAATCCTGGTTCTTGGTATAACGATTGTGACATGGCACGTATGGTAAATGGATCCGGTTCCGGATCACAACCGAATTTAATCCATATGCAGCCTATCCGGATTTAATGGGGAGGCCCAACTATTCGAACAAATTCACCAATCCGGCCCAAATAATTCAACGGTGGGACCCATATAAATTTGAAAAACAAAGGCGGGAACAGGTCAACAGGCTGCCCCAAAACGGCAAAGTTTCCCGCTCCGAGTCCCGAGTCGCTGTCCACCTGTCACGTATTGGTTAAGCTATTGAGCCCACTAAGTCAGCGTTGTTTCCCCCCTTTTCTACTTGTCTTTTTTTAAATCCCATTTTTATTCGCTCACTCCCATTTCCCACTTTCTTGGATTCCACCGCCGAAACTGTATTTGCGGCTCTCTCTGAAATTCGAATCTCTAGGTGCCTTCTCCTGCTCCCCCTCTCCCTCTCGCGATTCCTCCCGGTTTTGATTTTGTTTTTCCGCTTCGTTTCTGTGATTTACTCCGTTGTGTTGCAGGTTATCGTGAAATGTATCTAATTTTTGTTGCTCTATATGCTTCATTTTTGTCATTCTATTCGCCTGTGCTGATATGCTGCCAGTAATCATGAATCGATGTGTTTTGTTCTGTTATGATCTGTTAGTTTATGTCATCGGTAATCGTGAATTGCAACTTATTCTTACGTTTTTTTGCTTGTTTATTTGATTTGCGTGGTTTATGTTGCTGGTAATCATGAACTGCAACTTAGTTTGTGCAATTTTGCTTGATTTTCTTCGCGTATGCAGGTATGCTGCCATTAATCATGAATCGATGTGTTTTGTTCTGTTATGATCTGTTAGCTTATGTCATCGGTATCGTGAATTGCAACATATTTTTACGTTTTTTTGCTTGTTTATTGATTTGCGTGGTTTATGTTGCTGGTAATCATGAACTGTAACTTAGTTTGTCCAATTTTGCTTGATTTTCTTCGCCTATGCAGGTATGCTGCCAGTAATCATGAATCAGTTATTTTGTTTAATGTTTAAAAAAAATAATAATAATCGTGAATTACAACATATTCTAACTGGCCTTGCTTAGTTTTGTGATTTGCTTTATTTATGTTGCTGGTAATCGTGAAATGTAGCTTGTGTTGTGTGATTTTGCTTCTTGTGCTGCCTCTAATGATTAAATTACTTCTTATTTTTCTGTAGTTTGCTTGAGTTTTGTGGTTTTTGTTGTCAACATTGTTAGGAGTCCTGAACTATCACCTTGTTTTGTTTTTGTAGATATTATTTTTGAGAATCTTCGTTTAGGATGCTAAGCTTAGGAAATTCAACTCTGTAAGGGAGTGGTCTGTATTAGTACAAATCTCTAGACTATGATATAAGCAATATCTGATAAGCATGAAAATGCTTGCTAAAAGGAAGAGCTCTTCTGCAAAACTGACAATTATTTGTGTTTATATATTGCCGGTATATAAGTTATTTGTTCTCATTCTGAATGTGATAATTGGTCTCAAAGAACTTTTTGCTTTAATCGAAATGATGATGAGTATTGTTTCTTTTGCAAATATGATATCTCAAACATTTCAGTTGGAGTGGTGGACATTGTCTGCTTTGTAAAACAGTTCAAACTTCTTGTGGCTTGAACATTATGAAGCCCTAAAATTATAGTTTATTTGTTCCTTTCCCTTCAATTTTTGAATTCCTGGATATGTGGTGACATAAAAGCACCAAAAAGTTAGCATTATTCGTTATTGCCCGTAGTTGGTTGATGAAGCGCATTTGTATTTCTGTTTGGATTTTGTGTTTTTAGAGAAATATAAAGAATATGTTATAATTTTGTGTTTGTTTGGACTGTCAGGCATTTTAGAGTAAGAAAAAGATGCCAGACTCTGATCTTGAAATGGAGAAGGAAAATCTTTCCGTTCTTGTTCCACATGGATTGAACTCTGATGGAAAGATTCGTACATTGGAAAAAGAGCTGGAAATGACTAGAGAAAAACTTATTGCGTCAGAGCAAGAGAGTACAAAATTAAAGGGTAATCTCTCTGAAGTGATTTTGAAAAATGCTGATCAATTGAAGCATCTGCTTAGTCAAGATGCTGAGCAGAGAGTTGAACTAGCAAATAATGCTTCCAAAATTAGTTTCTTGGTGAATCAGCTAGAAATGGCTAAAGAGAAACTTCAAAGTTCAGAAGAAGCGAATACCAAGTTGAACTTTGATCTCTCAAAAATTGTTTCTGAAAGCACTCAATTAAGTGATCAGTTGGAAGCAAGTCGTAGTGATGTACGTGTGTTGGAAGCTCAACTTGATTCTGGAAAAAAGCATGCCTTGGAACTGGAGGACATGTACAAATCCAAGCTTTTAGATCAGGAAAGTGAGATCAAGAGAATCAATTCAGAATATGATGGTGCAAAGGAGCACTTTCTTTTGGAGAAAGAACAGCTCCAATCTGTTATATCTAGTTTGTATGTGCAGCTGGCCTTACAAAAGAAAATGCAGGAAGCACTGGAGATGCGAAACAAAGCATTAGTGGATGTCTTCATACAAATCAAAGGACTAGAGGATCACTTTAAGTCTGAGTTGCATTTCAAAGAGACGCTCATTGGCGAGGCCAATAAAGAATTTGCTGGCTTCAAATTGAAGATTGACACCCTAATGACCGAAAAAGATGAGAACATTGCTACACTACAGACGTTGAAAGCAGTACTCTCCTCCCGAGATGATCAAATTCAGCAGCTGGAGGATAATGTGAAGCAGCTGCATTCCAAATGTTTAGATCTAAGTGCAGGATCTGAGAGTGCAGAGAAATTAATAAATGAATTGCAACAGAGAGTGGTGCACTTGGAGAAAGAAGTGGGTATGCAGAATGCAGTAATCTCTGATAGGGCAGAGGAGAAAAGGGAGGCTATAAGGCAACTATGCTTCTCACTGGAGCATTACAGAAATGAATATCAACAGCTGCGTGAGGCATACATTGAGAAAAAAAAAAAGAGGCTAACCATTTTTGCTTAATAAGGTTTCCGTAAGTATGCCCTTCTTATGTTTGTGTTACCAGCTTTGGATATATGGTATTTGTGTTCTTTCTCGTTTATCTCAGATGATTTAGTCTCAAAATTTGATGTACCTCAAAACTCAATGGTTATCATCCATTTATGCTGAATTGTTTGAGATTCCCTCTACTGTCTTGTTTGAATTATAAAATGTCTAGCAGTGGTTTTTAACTTTTAAGTTGCTATGACTGCTATCCTTTTGTTTGTCTTGATTCACACTTAGTCAAACCCTGCTTCCCCCCTTCAAATTTGAATTTTTTTTGAATGCTATCTGTTCATATACTTTCTCAACATACTGAAACACAAAGAACCAATAACACCTCCACTGAGGCTCAAACTCACAACCTTCCAAATGGAAGTTCAACTCGTGTACCATTAGACCACATAGTCTTGGTGAATTTATTACACTCTATTTTTAATGGAATTTGGAAGGGATCTATGATTGCATATTACACTAGCTTCTAGCGTCAGTACTCATTATTCAGTCATTCTGCTAATCCTTTTCCATAGAACCTTCCATACGTAGCCTAACAATTTGACTTGTTTATAAAGACTTTATTACATTCCATTGATTTCATGTTTCATTGTATGCGTACATTACTTGATATGATTAAATTTTGAATACATAAAAGTGCTTTGACTTTTTAGTTCCTGAATGATTCTTAATGCTTGTTTTTATTGAGGTCTAAGCCAATAAAATATGTATAAGAATCTCAACAATACTTACCCATACAATATTAAAAAGAAAAGAGATAGAGCAGGTGAAGCAAACATGGAGCACTAACTTTAAAGAAGATTATAACCTATCCTATATATCTGTTTGATATTTAGACTACTAAAGTGCTGCTTGATTTGAATTGAATTCTGTTGTGCATAATTCCGTCTCTTTGTGGACGAATTGGCAGGCAGTGAATTCACGAGAACGTGGGCAAAGCCAACACCATGCTGTGGAGGATAAGTGGAGACCGCCTGCAGCGAACAGGTTGAAATTGAACACAGATGCAGCGTTGAATAAAGATCAAAATAAAACGGGGATCGGGTGGATACTACGGGATGACATGGGATCTTTCCTAGCGGCGAAGAATGTTTGCATGCCGGGGCTGTACTCTGTGGCGGAGGCGGAGATGATATGCATCCGGGAAGCTCTTTCATGGCTAAAGAACACCGGGATGGGGAATGTGAATGTGGAGATGGATTCACATTTGTTATTATGCTTTACATTCATGTTCTTTTGTTAGTACATTTGGTTTTCTAGTAGATGATGTAAAGGAACTTGCCTCAATCATAAAAGGGGTGAGCTCTGGTTTTGTCAAGCGATATGTGAATCGTGCGGCTCATGTGTTGGCGGACGCGGCTGCTTCTACAACAGGTTGCAGGGAGTGGTATAATACACCTCCAAACTTTCTTACTACGATTCTTTTGGCGGATTTAATGAATTAAGACGTTTTCGCCAAACAAAAAAATAAAATCTTATGTTAATAGTTCACTTTACAAGGTGAACCATGGTCCATGATATAATGGTTGATGGTGGCAATTTATATCAAGGACTTTGGTCCACATGATGTTATGTCGTTATGGACCATGAATTGAAACGATGAGGTACACAATTCATACTTGTAAGATACGCAATTTCATAATATAAAATACAAAAAATCACAGTACAAGACACATAGCATTATTAATCCTAGATTGAAACAACGAGGTACAAAATTCATACTTGTAAAGTACAAAATTTCATAACACAAAGATACATACACATGTTATATATTTACTTATTTTTTAAATATGATTTAACTATATAATTTGTGTTTATTGCACAATACAAAACACATAAATCATAATCCTGGTTCATGGTATAAGGATTGTGACATGGCACATATGGTAAACGGATCCGGGTCCAAATCACAACTGAATTTAATCAATATGCAGCCTATCCGGATTTAATGGGCAAATTATGTTGTGCTTCCCACTGCAAAAACGACATCGTTTTGCATCAAAACACGCGTCCTACTTAAAAAAAAAAATCAGTTTCGATTCCCAGCAACAACATTATGTTATTCATTTTTTAGTTCATTCATTCTAGTGTCCATGCCAATACTATCGAGTTGCCCCAAGCAGTCCAGCCGCAATCGGACGTGCAGTCGCAGCAGTCTGCCGTCGCTGCTCACACACCATGGGTTGCACCATTGTCGCTGCCGCCAGCTGCAATTACTGCCCAAGTCGAGCTGCCAACGATTACACACGCCAGAAGATGTTCTGTCGATGCAGCCTACCATCACACAGACAATACAGCTTCAGTAGGGGCGTTGCTCACAAATGCAGACGGAAGCTTTCTCTCAACTTACAGTGCGCCCTTACCATATTGTTTTTCCGCACTCATGGCTGAGGCTTATGCGTGTAAGGAAGCACTCTCGTGGTTACGTATGCGAGGGGAGTTAACAGTTATCTTTTTACAAATTGTCAGATATTACAGATGTACTAAACCGCTACAAGTGCCCTGCTCGGTTCTTACATCGGCTACGCTATTGATGGATGTAGAGCTTATATGTCTTCCTATACAACATGTTCAGTTGATTTTATTTCTAGATTGCAGAATTACTTAGCGCATACTTTAGCTTCTACAACTTTCAATTATGATACAGCTATGTACTGGGATGATGTCCCACCTGACTCTATTTCAGTTTATCTATGAATACAACCCATTGGTTGACCTTCAAAAAAATTTTGAATTTTTGGTTATGAAATTTTAGATGTATAGTTATGCAATTTTAGAAGTGTAGTTATGGATGTGTAGTTATGCAATTTTGGATTTATAGTTATGAAGTTATGGATGTGTTGTGATGCAATTCTGGATGCATAGTTATGAAGTTATATGTGTAGTTATTCAATTCTGGATTTATTGTTATGAAATTATGGATGTGTAGTTATATAATTCTGAATGAATAATTATAGAATTATAGATGCGATGGAATCATAGATGTGTAGTTATGTAATTATGATTTATTTTATTTTATTTTATTTTTTTTGAGTTAGATGTCCCTACGACGTTGTTTTTGCATTGCATGTGCAGACGTTATGCCATGGAACCGTGTTCACCATTCATGGTGAACACGGTTCTAACGGTGTTAGTACACCGTTATCTTTTTTTTTTTTTTTTTTTTTTTTTTTTTTTTTTTTTTTTTTTATAATTGCGTGACTTTTCTTCTTTATTTTCACATTTTGCGGTTTCACTTTAATTTGAGGTGAACAAAAATTTCGGACATTCATAAATTATGAATTCATGCCTGCACATTCACTTTGGAACCATGCCTATACATTCCCGTCCGAAATCACGGACATTCATAAATTATGAATCCATGGCTGTACATTCACTTTGGAACCATGAGATTATGAATTTTCTGTTATAAGATTATGAATTTTCTGTTATGAGATTATGAATTTTCAGTTATGAGATTATGAATTTTCTATTATGCGATTATGAATTTTCTGTTATGAGATTATGAATTTTCATTACATTCATAATTTCGTACATTCATAAATTATGAATTCATGCCTGCACATCCACTTTGGAACCATGCCTACACATTCACTTTGGAACCATGAGATTATGAATTTTCTGTTATAAGATTATGAATTTTCTGTTATGAGATTATGAATTTTCAGTTGTGAGATTATGAATTTTCTGTTATGCGATTATGAATTTTCTGTTATGAGATTATGAATTTTCATAAAATTCATAATCTCATAACAGAAAATTCATAATTTGATCAAACGACGCGCCGTTAACTCCACATCCGCGATTTTTTTTTTTTTGGCCTAAAAACGACGTCGTAATTTGTGCATACGGATGCTCCGATTTAATGGGGAGGCCCAACTATTCGAACAAGGCAAATTATATTATGCACCGCGCGTCTTTTTTTTTAAATGAAAATTAACAGTGTTTATTTCCGCCGTTTCGCACCCTTTTGCAAAAAGTAACTCTGTTATTCAGTGTCATTTTGTATACACTGCAGTTTCAGTTGAACACAACTACAGTTTCATTTCGATATAACTATAGTTTCATTCGATATTTATAGACTCAAATATGTGAAAATGTTATTTAATTTTATTTTATATACACTATAGTTTCATTAAAACACAACTACATGATTATTTTGATATAATTAGAGCTTCATTGTACAATACACACTCAAATATGTGAAATGTTATTCAGTTTCAGTTTATATACACTGCAGTTTCATTTCACTATAACTATAATATCATTTTGATATAACTGCAGTGTCGGTTTGAATATATTGTAGTGTCAATTGGTGTTTAATACACCAAACAAACGGACTCCGTTAACTCTAACGGCCGGCCGTTTCTTTACTTAAAGAAACGACGTCGTTTTTGACCGCGGTGCACATCCACCGCGGTCTATAATATAACGACTGACTAGATTCACCAATCCGTCCCAAATAATTCAACGGTGGGACCCATATAAATTTGAAAAACAAAGGCGGGAACAGGCTGCCCCTAAACGGCAAAGTTTCCCGCTCCGAGTCCCGAGTTGCTGTCCACCTGTCACGTATTGGTTGAGCTATTGAGCCCACACAGTCAGCGTTGTTCCCCCTCTTTTCTACTTGTCTTTTTTAAATCCCATTTTTATTCGCTCTCTCCCATTTTCCACTTTCTTGGATTCCACCGCCGAAACTGTATTTGCGGTTCTCTCTGAAATTCGAATCTCTAGGTGCCTTCTCCTGCTCCCCCTCTCCCTCTCGCGATTCCTCCCGGTTTTGATTTTGTTTTTCCGCTTCGTTTCTGTGATTTACTCCGTTGTGTTGCAGGTTATCGTGAAATGTATCTAATTTTTGTTGCTCTATATGCTTCATTTTTGTCATTCTATTCGCCTGTGCTGATATGCTGCCAGTAATCATGAATCGATGTGTATTGTTCTGTTATGATCTGTTAGTTTATGTCATCGGTAATCTTGAATTGCAACTTATTCCTACGATTTTTTGCTTGTTTATTTGATTTGCGTGGTTTATGTTGCTGGTAATCATGAACTGCTACTTAGTTTGTGCAATTTTGCTTGATTTTCTTCGCCTATGCAGGTATGCTGCCAGTAATTATGAATCGATGTGTTTTGTTCTGTTATGATCTGTTAGTTTGTGTCATCGGTAATCGTGAATTGCAACTTATTCTTACGATTTTTTGCTTGTTTATTTGATTTGTGTGGTTTATGTTGCTGGTAATCATGAACTGCAACTTAGTTTGTGCAATTTTGCTTGATTTTCTTCGCCTATGCAGGTATGCTGCCAGTAATCTTGAATCAGTTATTTTGTTTAATGTTTAAAAAAAAATAAAATTAATCGTGAATTACAACATATTCTAACTGGCCTTGCTTAGTTTTGTGATTTGCTTTGTTTATGTTGCTGGTAATCGTGAAATGTAGCTTGTGTTGTGTGATTTTGCTTTCTTGTGCTGCCTCTAATGATTAAATTACTTCTTATTTTTCTGTAGTTTGCTTGAGTTTTGTGGTTTTTGTTGTCAACATTGTTAGGAGTCCTGAACTATCACCTTGTTTTGTTTTTGTAGATATTATTTTTGAGAATCTTCGATTAGGATGCTAAGCTTAGGAAATTCAACTCTGTAAGGGAGTGGTCTGTATTAGTACAAATCTCTAGACTATGATATAAGCAATATCTGATGTGCATTATGGTGAGATCTGGTATTACACTGACTTTTAAGCATGAAAATGCTTGCTCAAAGGAAGAGCTCTACTGCAAAACTGACAATTATTTGTGTTTATATCTTGCCGGTATATCAGTTATTTGTTCTCATTCTGAATGTGATAATTGGTCCCAAAGAAATTTTTGCTTTAATTGAAATGATGATGAGTATTGTTTCTTTTGCAAATATGATGTCTCAAACATGTTCAGTTGTCGCTAAAGGTGGAGTGGTGGACATTGTCTGCTTTGTAAAATAGTTCAAACTTCTTGTGGCTTGAACATTATGAAGCCCTAAAATTATAGTTTATTTGTTGCTTTCCCTTCAATTTTTGAATTCCTGGATATGTGGTGACATAAAAGCACCAAAAAGTTAGCATTATTTGTTATTGCCCGTAGTTGGTTGCTGAAGTGCATTTGTATTTCTGTTTGGATTTTGTGTTTTTAGAGAAATATAAAGAATGTGTTATAATTTTGTGTTTGTTTGGACTGTCAGGCATTTTAGAGTAAGATAAAGATGCCAGACTCTGATCTTGAAATGGAGAAGGAAAATCTTTCCGTTCTTGTTCCACATGGATTGAACTCTGATGGAAAGATTCGTACATTGGAAAAAGAGCTGGAAATGACTAGAGAAAAACTTATTGCGTCAGAGCAAGAGAGTACAAAATTAAAGGGTAATCTCTCTGAAGTGATTTTGAAAAATGCTGATCAATTGAAGCATCTGCTTTGTCAAGATGCTGAGCAGAGAGTTGAACTAGCAAATAATGCTTCCAAAATTAGTTTCTTGGTGAATCAGCTAGAAATGGCTAAAGAGAAACTTCAAAGATCAGAAGAAGCGAATACCAAGTTGAACTTTGATCTCTCAAAAATTGTTTCTGAATGCACTCAATTAAGTGATCAGTTGGAAGCAAGTTGTAGTGATGTACGTGTGTTGGAAGCTCAACTTGATTCTGGAAAAAAGCATGCCTTGGAACTGGAGGACATGTACAAATCCAAGCTCTTAGATCAGGAAAGTGAGATCAAGAGAATCAATTCAGAATATGATGGTGCAAAGGAGCACTTTCTTTTGGAGAAAGAACAGCTCCAATCTGTTATATCTAGTTTGTATGTGCAGCTGGCCTTACAAGAGGAAATGCAGGAAACACTGGAGATGCGAAACAAAGCATTAGTGGATGATATCATACAATGCAAAGGACAAAAGGAACACTTTAAGTCTGAGTCGCATTCCAAAGATAAGTTCATCCACGAGGCCAATAAAGAATATGCTGGCTTCAAATTGAAGATTGACGTCCTAATGACCGAAAAAGATGAGAACATTGCTGCACTACAGACGTTGAAAGCAGTACTGTCCTCCCGAGATGATCAAATTCAGCAACTGGAGGATAATGTGAAGCAGCTGCATTCCAAATGTTTAGATCTAAGTGCAGGATCTGAGAGTGCAGAGAAATTAATAAATGAACTGCAACAGAGAGTGGTGCACTTGGAGAAAGAAGTGGGTATGCAGAATGCAGTAATCTCTGATAGGGCAGAGGAGAAAAGGGAGGCTATAAGGCAACTATGCTTCTCACTGGAGCATTACAGAAATGAATATCAACAGCTGCGTGAGGCATACATTGAGAAAAAAAAAAAAGAGGCTAACCATTTTTGCTTAATAAGGTTTCCGTAAGTATGCCCTTCTTATGTTTGTGTTACCAGCTTTGGATATATGGCATTTGTGTTCTTTCTCGTTTATCTCAGATGATTTAGTCTCAAAATTTGATGTACCTCAAAACTCAATGGTTATCATCCATTTATGCTGAATTGTTTGAGATTCCCTCTACTGTCTTGTTTGAATTATAAAATGTCTAGCAGTGGTTTTAACTTTTAAGTTGCTATTACTGCTATCCTTTTGTTTGTCTTGATTCACACTTAGTCAAACCCTGCTTTCACTCTCCCACCTTCAAATTTGAATTTATTACACTATTTTTAATGGAATTTGGAAGGGATCTATGATTGCATTACACTAGCTTCTAGCGTCAGTACTCATTATTCAGTCATTCTGCTAATCCTTTTCCATATAACCTTCCATACGTAGCCTAACAATTTGACTTGTTTATAAAGACTTTATTACATTCCATTGATTTCTTGTTTCATTGTATGCGTACATTACTTGATATGATTAAATTTTGAATACATAAAAGTGCTTTGACTTTTAAGTTCCTGAATGATTCTTAATGCTTGTTTTTGTTGGTGTCTAAGGCAATAAGATATGTATGAGAATCTCAACAATACTTGCCCATACAATATTAAAATGAAAAGAGATAGAGCAGGTGAAGCAAAGGTGGAGCACTAACTTTAAAGAAGATTATAACCTATCCTATGTATCTGTTTGATATTTAGACTACTAAAGTGCTGCTTTTCTAATTAATATATTGTCTTTAAAGTCAATGAAGTTGGTATATAGTATTCCCATTTTGATATTCTATGCTATTTATTTTCATGCCATTTTTTAAAATTAGTTTCTTTTGGGATTTTAATTTAGTACTATAATATATATATTTATTCATTATTTGTAATAATTAATTTTGGAAAAGAAATATACTAATACTGGATTAAAGTTTGGAACAGTATGGGCCAAAGTAATTTTAGATGGATTATATTCGTGTGAAACTGTCTTATCCATCTTTATTTGTGAGATGAATATGATATTTATATTGAAAAATGTAATATTAATTAAGAATAGAGTGTTTTACTTATGTCGAATAAATGTAATATGCTTATATTTTGATATACATTTATTATTTTTCATTAAAAATAAATGTTGTCAAGTGTTTATTAAAGACAAATATAACAAAAATATAATATTTTTAAATTAAAATGTATAAATATTATATTTTTCTTTATAAATAATAAAATTATATTTTATTTTGATTCCATTCGTCTTATAGATAAGGAATCGATTCACTGTTTCAAGCAAGTTTTTGTAATTACATATTGAGCAAGTTTTTGTAATTACATATTGCTAAAAGGAAAAAAAAAAAAAAAAAAAAAAAAAACAACTGTTCTCATCATTTCATTATGACAACCAATGACAGCATGCTGCCATCATCACCTCTTGCCACGTGGTGCCTTTGCTTTAGATGACTGACATCCCAATCTGCAGCTGGCCCACCAAGTTTTTAGCGGTCGGCTACTCGGTTCGCATGCTGAGCCGCATTTACTCCACCTCACCGCCTCTTTAATTTCGCCCACTGTCCAATCCTAATTGAAGAGCTCGCTGAGCCGGTAACCGCTTTTGGGTCCACCATCCTTCAAAAATCGCAAAGAATTTTTTTTTTTTTTTCTGAGTATATAAAAAAATGCTAAAGAGACTTGCTGTGGTGGCGGCACGTTGCGTAGTCTCCGGTCAACGACCGTCGTTTCACGCCGAGTTTTTCACATGCCACTCGGCATTGACTTCGTCCGAGTAATTTTATATTTATATTTTCTTGATTTTATTTAAATATTATATTATTATTGGCAGTAAAAAGAAAAAGTAATATACTCCGTAACAACTTTTACTAGTATGGAGGAGTCAACAGAAGAAAATGACAATGTTGCCTTTTTTAAAAATTTATGGCAAAAACAATCTAAAGGCCTAAAAATGTAAAATTATAAAATTATTTGGATTCAAAGTTATCCTAATACAAGTAGTTTATGAGTGAATCGGCTAATTTGTTAATAAAAATAATATACACGAATAAATATTTATTAGGAGTAATATGTTGCATTATTCTTCCTTAATTATGGATGGAGGATATCAAATATTCAAAGTCAACCATAAAATAGTTTGGTGTATTACAAGTTGGGTAATTATCCATTAATGTCATTTGCTTTAAATTTTAGATGCAAATAACATGATCTAATAAAACAATACTTATTAATATTCTTTTTTTTTAAACAAACAAAATGATGATAAAAAAAAGTTACATAAATTGATTTAATAATGTATTTTTTGGTAACATAATTAGTTTATCAGTCAATTTTGACCTATTTGACCATTATTAACTATTTGACTTTGACTTGATTAAACAATCAATATGAATGTTTGATTAATTAATATTTTATAACAACTCATTGCTTTAAAATGTTAAAGTTAAAAAGGTTGTTCAAAATATTTGTTTGATACGCTTTTTAATAAAATAATTTTGAATGTAATTAACTATCAACTAGTTTATTAAACACTTTTCTACAATCAGTTAAACCTATCAACTAGTCAAACATTAACTCAATCAGCTAGATATTTACCAATAAGTATATATGCAAATTTAAAAATCGGACAAAATAAGTAGATACTACTATATTATTCATCAGTAATTAGAGAAAAATATCTAGTGCCAAGCACCTTGTGCACAAATGGCACTCGGATTAAACTCTCATATGGGAGATTGTGAGTTCAAGTCTCGATGCGTTATTGGCTATTCGTGCTTCAGTAGATTGAAAAAGTAATTACGAACAAATACTATATTGTAATAGAGTCAGTAGCATTTTAAAAAAGATAAAAATACCTAGTAATTAATTTATTTATAGACTAACTATTAACTTATCCCCGAGTAACAGGGAAAGCATTTAGTAACCTGCTGTCTTGCTGGCAAATGTTTCATGTTTCTTCTGTTCACACTTCACAACAAAGAAAACCAAAGGTGAGGAAGAAGAAGGAATGGAAAGAATACTAGTCTACACTATTTTCTTGCGTATAAATCTAGAGATATAGAGAGAGAGGGGAAGATTTTAGAGAGAGAAAGGGCGAGGGACAACGACTCAGAGGTTGGAATTTCTGGGTTGACAAGCTTCTATTACACGGTATAGAAGACTCACTCTGTTTTACTTTTAGAGAGAGAGAGGTGTAGAAGAAGCTGGAGATGGAGAAAGAGAGACAGAGACTTGTCGTTAATGAAAATATTTTCAAGAAATTCTCCCACCCAATTTCTTGTTAGGTTCGTTTTCTTCTTCCCCTTGACTCATTTCATCTCATTCTGGTCTCTCTCCAAGAATATAACGCATTACATTCATGTATGTGCTCAAGTTTTGAAGCATTCTTATGTTTGGTACTTATGCTCATGGTAAAGTTTTGATCTTTTTGCCACTTTCTAGCTCTACAAGGTTTGCTTTTGGCTAAAAACTGAAAATTTCGAACTGGGTTCTAATTTGATTTCATGGGAATTTCGTAGATTTTAATGAACCTGTAGGTAGAGCTTCACCTTCATTTTGGTCTTTGTTTATGGTACTTGTTCTGCTGTGAGAAAGGTAGGTTGCGGCTTATCTGATCTTACATATTCTTGAATTTGGTGGGCTTCATTTCTATAGTTTTGTTGAAGGTGATATGTTCTTGTCAAATTATGCTTCAACCTGAATCAAGTTGTTGCTTAAGGAAAATCCCAATTGTTTAATGTTACTCTTGCTAGAGTGTCCTTTTTATGACCTCAATTTTGAGTTTATCTGTGGAACCATGTTCTCTTGCTCTAGTGTTTTTTTTTCCTGTTATATAATGACAAGATTTGGATTTATCTGGGAAGTGGAAAGATAAAGGGTTTCACTATTCATTTACTCATTTGGAGTATTACATATGTAACATGTTTAAGCATCTTTTGTTCCTCATATATTGTTAAAATGTGAGAACAGATCAGAACAAAGGTTGTCTGCTGCTAAATTTATCCTTTTCCATGAGATATAATCAGAACTGTGTGCAAAACACAACATTATATACTGTACAGTCCTTAAATCCTTCAAAGTGTAACGAATGTTTTTATGCGTTTTACCAGATTTTAGTGGCTGGTTTTGGTTTACTGATATAGCTAGCTCAATAGCTGGACTGGAACGGGAACATGGCTAACGTAGTGAAGTCTCAAGTTCGGCTTGTTAGGTGTCCTAAATGCCGAAAAGTCCTTGAAGAGCCAACAGAATCGATCGTCTATAAATGTGGAGGATGCGACACAGTTCTTCAAGGTAATCATAAATCGTTCTTGATTTTCCTTTTCCCCCTTCTTGGAAGTCTTTTACATTTCTGCTTGCAAATATGATTATGTTCTTGTTGTAATCGTTTATCGTATTGCTTCTGAATGTAGCAAAGAAAAGGAAAAACAACACTAGCACTGAGCTGAGTGTTCTTGAAACTCATCCTCGGGATTCAAAGGAAAAGGGAATTAGCAGCTTACATCAGAAAGACTCCTCGATTTCCTCTGTGGATACTTTGCAGAGTGAGAGCTGCAAGATTCGGTATGAAATTGGGGAGTGCAGTAAGGTGCGGAGTGGACAGGAAAAATCGCCTCGACTTAGTAGTAGCTTTCACGAGATTGATGGAAAGTCCTCGAGTGCTAGAGAGCCTATCGAGCAGCACGAAGATGAGTGCCCCATTGATAGGAACTTCTCGGGTGAACTTTCTGAGTCGAATGAGCTCAAACATCACGGGACTGAAGTTTCATCTGCTCCCCGAGAAGCTGGAGAACAGATGGAATGCATCAGAAGGTGTGAGTATGAAAGCGAAGCTTGTGAAATGGAGAGCCCCGAGTATACTAACTCTCTTGCTGGAAGTTCTCCATTTAGTGAAGAAGCCAATGCTGATTCGGGTAAAAGCCATTCTCTCTCGCAAGAAAGCAACGATCCAAACGATTTTGCAGGCCACACTCTGGAATACATTGAACACGCAAAGAGTTCTGGAGAAATTATTTCGCCCGAGAGTCAAGAAATTCAAAAGCCATCACCGGTACAGACTGAAGTGGATCAAAGCCCCTTGCACGAGGGCATCCAACAGCCAGAACAATCTGACAAAGAAATTGCTCGAAGTTTTGACCGTATAAGCTCTGTGGATACTCTAGACAATTTACCCCTCGATCCTCAACCGACAGTAACACACCGAGATATGCCCAAGTCTCCCACTACCAGAAGCTATTACGCTTATGATGGCAGTGCATCTTCTTGTGATGGGGATAGCAAGTTTTCGCAACAAGTTGGAAGGAAGTTCGAGAGTGCAAAACTCAAAATTCCTGACGAATTTCGATCAGATGATGAGTGTAACGAGGATAGCATGCTGAGCAGGAAGCCGAGGACTCACCATCCAGCCAAGAATTGCTCCCAGATGTTACCACGAAGGATGCATCGAGCTAATCAAGATAAGTGGGCTGAATCTAGAAGATGTGATCAAACCTTTGGACATCGGAGGCAATTGATGACGGATGAGTGTGTTAGTACATTCCCAGTTGTTTCAACAGGCTCCCACACGAGTCATGGTCACGGGAGCCCTTCAACATTATGGCAAAACAATTTTCGTCATCATTCCAGCTTTTATCCATCGAATATGCCCACGTATGCAGACCGGGAAAAAATGGAACTTTTGAGAATGGTCCATGATCTCGAAAACCAGCTCCAAGAAACACGTCTGTCAAAAGGAAAGGCTAATAGAAGGTTTCGTGCAGGAGATATGAGGCCCGACGATATGCATGCCCCGTTGTACTCTGATCAGTTCCAACCAGATGCTGATCCAAGCCACCGTCGATGTCCTATAAGATGCAGCCAAGGGCAAGGATTTTCATCTAAAATCTCGAGAATACCTTTCTCCGGAGAGGCTGTTCATTATAGACACCGAGGCGATTGTATGTGCCTGCACTGCTCCCCCCAGGTCTGGCATTGCTCGTCACAACTTCCTTTGGGTTCCATTTGCTGCAACAAAAGTCACCTGGCAGCCTGCACTAACCATAACTATGTCAATGCCACCCATTCTAGCTCGAGTTCGCAAAGTCCCCAGCATTACACGAACTCCAAGTATTATTCCAAGTGGGGACATGAACCGAAATCGTCGAGTGATCAGAGGCAGAAAGATCACGAGGTGAGGAAGTTGCATTTAGGGGAAAGGTATGGTAAAATGCGACATGTCCTCCCATTTGAAGGCGGGGCGCCAATAGTTGCTTGCGATCACTGCTCGGAGCTATTACAACTGCCTGCAGATTTCGGTGTCATCAAGAGGAGAAGCTATCAGCTAGTAAGGTGTAATGCATGCTTGAAGGTTCTCAAGTTTGATCTTCGAAACAGAACAGATATTAGCAATGATCGTTTATCAGAGAACAGTGACTCGGTTTATGATATGGGCGAGCAGGCTGCTGCTACTTTAGCCCCTCCGCCCAGTGAATCCAGTGATCTCAACGAGAGGAATCCAGCTCCCCAACGCTGCCTGCACGCTGAATCTCTGTCATATTCTGACGATTTGGGGCCGTCTTTCTGCAGGAGTTGCTCAACTGAAGTGGAGCCTTCATCTGTCCCTCATGGAAGAACCACCTTCAATAGGAAGGTCTCATCTGCTAGCTCCATGGAAGACCGGAAAATGAAGTCTGTGATGAGAGAATCCCGAAGCAAACCAGTGAATTCGTGCTGGGAACACGCTGAATCAGCTGCAGGGCCTTCCAATTGGGGAATTTCATCATCAGAAATCGAGGAAGTTCACGAACACCCAAATGCAGGCTCCCCGCTTCATCGCCTCATGGGATACTCCACAATAAGTCAAGTGCTCAGATAGCTAAACTGATACATATGAAACACAGACTGGATTCTGGACCAGAACCATGGATCTTGAAACCAAGAAATTCAATGCTGATATGAGTTACAAACAGTGTTCTTTCAGATTTTTAGATTTCTTTTTTTCTGCTCTCCATTTCTCTACAGATTAAACAGGAAAAGCTGCATTGCAGTAGTGTAAAGGCAAATGGTTTCACTTGTCTTGCACTGAAATTTTCAATATGGTTTATTTGTATTTGTAATTATCTTTACTGTGTGTATATATAACAACATTTGAAATATGTTGTCATCTTAGTCAACTCCATGCTTGGTATAGTGACTTCAATCCTTTGAATATTTATTTATTTTTGCTAAGGTCCCCCGTTACATTTACCATCCTCTCGAGTTAAATTCAGGGACAAAAAGGTAATTTCACATTGCAACATTCAGCTTTTAATCAATATTTTTTTACACTTTTCGGCGATTTTTCCTACATTTTTCGGTAATAATCACCAATGACTGAATGGTCACCGATCGCGTTTGTAGGAGGCGACCAACTGGTCTGCCTGAGAAGGCGACCAAGTTGGTCACGTTCTCCTTTACTGGAGAAGGCGACCAATTGGTCGCCTGAGGTAGATCAGTTGGTCGCTTCTTCCACACGCGCGCTGATTGCCTGTGATTATTGCTGGAAAGTGTAAGAAAGGTCGCCGGAATCTTAGGTAACCTGTAATTTACAGGTTACCAATTCTCCAACCGCCGGAGAAGACAAGGGAAGGCGACCACTTGTTCGCCTTCTCAGGCGAAGGAGAAGGTAGATCAATTGGTGGCCGCCCCAAACGCGCATTGGTCGTCTGGAAAGTGTAAGAAAAGTCGCCGGAACCCCAGGTAACCTGTAATTACAGGTTACCTATTCTCCAACCGCCGGAGAAGACAAGGGAAGGCGACCACTCAACCTCCAACCGCCGGAGAAGACAAGGGAAGGCGACCACTCTCAGGTGAAGGAGAAGGTAGATCAGTTGGTCGCCTCCTCCAAACGCGCGCGGGTCGCCAGTGATTATTGCTGAAAAGTGTAAGAAAGGTCGTCGGAACTCTAGGTAACCTGTAATTACACGTTACCAAACAATTTTGGGCTTAAATGTTTCAAAATATGTTTATAAGCCCATTTGACTTTTTTTTTTTTTTTTTTTTTTTTAAATAGTTGTAAATATCTTTATCAAAAGACAGTCAAACCCTTAAGGGGGCGTTTGGTTCAGGTTATATAACATAACCAAGGGAATGTGACATTCCAAAACTCACATTCTTATGTTTGGTTCACATTATCTCAGGGAATCTAACATTCCCCAGGAATGTCACATTCCCTCCACATAGGATTTTGAAGGGAATGTGATTCCCTTCAATTTCTAAGGTTATGTAAGATAACCTTGGTTATGTTAGTTTATCTCTCTCTCTCTCTCTCACACACACACACACACACATAATTATTTTTGTAATTATATATTTTTTATTTTTATTATGTTAGGTTAGCATATAAAATAATTTTGTTTCTCAAGTTCAATATTTTAGTTAATATTTTAAAATCATGTAATTATATATGATACCGTTATCTTATTTATTTATTTTAATTTTTAAATTTATTAAAATATATGAAAATATGTTAAGAATATTATAGTGTGTGAATAAAGATAACCCTAAACCAAACATGATTATATTACATACCCCAATTTTAACCAAACACAGGAATCTAACATTCCCAGTAATCTAACATTCCCAGCAATCTAACATTCCCTAGGTAATCTGACATTCCGTGAACCAAACGACCCCTTAACGAACAGTGTATTTACAAATCCAAACCGATTCAAAAATGGAGGTAACACTGAGAGACAGTCGGTTCAGGGATTACCTTAAATTTCAGAGACACTCGTCGGAGAAGACGACGTTGGTCGTGACTCGTGAGGTCTTCGAGGATTTGTGCCGTCACAAAATTAGCCTTACGTGGCCTGACACGGAAGCAAACCGTCTTAGGTTTCGCACTTCGTTTGCAGTGGAAGCTCAATTCGGCGCGCAATATAAATTTCCTTCCTTTCTAGGGATTCAGGTGGGTCAATGAGCTCCGCTATGAAGTTTCTGAATTTCCTTTCACACATTTATGGGTGTAATTATGGTAGTAGAGCTTTGAAATTTATCAGTTTTCGACAATTCAGTTGATTATGGTTATCGTATTCTATATTTATTGCATTTTACATACGGAGGACTAGAATTTGGTTTTGTGTGTAGTGATGGGTCGAAAGAAGCAACTTCGGCCGCATCGTTCTGTCGGAATTCGCGGAAAGCAAGCCCCCGGCGCGGAATTATGTGATAATAATGATGCTAGAGCAGAAAAAGACAAGCTTGTAGAAGTTGATGAACCCTTTTTCATTGAAGTTGATCGGTCTACCTGGTTGTCTGATGAACATATGGATATTTCAGAGATTGTTTTGTCGGATTTGAGCATAAAAGAGGAGTTTTATGGTTATAGATTGAGTGATGAGCTTTATGGGGATTCGAGATATTTACTGAGGTTTAGATTGGATGGAGTAAGCCAGCATCTTAGTAGAATCAAGTTAGGGCATTGGCCTGTTTTATCTGCTAGTAGTATAGTTGTGGAACTTGTTGCAAAGCATGTGAAAGAGGGTGGTGAAGAACATCTTGTAATGGTTTCGGGAAATCTAGATGGACCTGATGAAGGGGTCTCTGGGCTTGTTCACTTAGCTAGTTTGAAGTTCTTGACATTGAGGCCAGCAATGGCAGTTACCTTCCTTGAAGGTTTATTGTCTTTTAGGATTAGGGTGGAGATTTTAAGAGCTGCATTTGAAGCATGTGAAACTCTTCTTGATAATACAAGACAGCTTTGGAAGAAGAGTATGATAAGCGTCATGGCATGGCTGCGCCCAGAAGTTACAACTTCAGAGGCTAGATATGGATATAACGTGATAGGGGACAAAGATACTGGTTTGGGCACAGATGAGAATTCATCTGCTTCAAGAAAATGTGCTAAGCTTGATGTTGTTAGTTTCTATGAGGCCATTAAGCCATCAAAGTGAGTAATGATACAACTCATCTCTTTTTGTGAACAAAATTGTTATTGCTGTTCCATTCTTCATTATTTTCTTAATATCTGTTCTACATTATGCAGGGAAGACCCTATGTTGGATGACCCTCTACCTAATTTGGTTCCTGAGCTTAGACCATATCAGCGCCGTGCAGTTTATTGGATGGTACAGCGGGAGAAAGGCGCATCTGAACATTCTGAACCTAGCCAAATAAATCTGTTGATTTCCCCTCTATGCATGCCATTGAGTTTAATTGACAAATCTGCTGCTGTATACTACAATCCATTTAGGTATGTTGTCCTCACATTACAAATTCATATGACTATGGCAGTTGGCTTGGCATGACAGTTACCATTCTCGATGCATCTAATACAGATTACTTGGCGCAGCTAATTACATTATCATACTTTCATTCCGTGCCTTATTTTGGACCTAAGCATCCATTTATTCTCAAGTTTTACGCTAGAAAAACCAGCAGATGTATGTATTTGATGTTCTGTAAAATTTTTCTGTGATCTCTCTCTTCAACAAACCATGTCTCCTTTATATCTCTTTCCCATAGAAAAGAGAAGGATGCCTCTAACAATCTTTCGTTCTTTCTTTCTTTCTTCTTCTTCTTCTTCTTTTTTTTTTTTTTTTTTTTTTTTTTTTTTTTTTTTTTGTATGTGATTTTCAGTGGAAATGTATCCCTTCATCCAGACAGTTCCTTCTGCTACGTTTCTGGCGGAATTCTAGCTGGTAAGTCAAATCATTGAATTCTCTTTGGCTGTCATAAGTGGCTAAAATGAAGTTTGATACATGTAAGGAGCACAATACATTTATTCCCATGATATTTGCATGTAAATTTTTTTTTTTAAACAATAAAATTTTCCTGTGACTGACTGTAATTTAGGTATTGATCATCCCAGAAAAATTTTTAGTCTTGCCAAATAGGTCTGCTGTCATTGTTTCAACAATGATCAATCAAGTTTTATGGTTCAAAGCTTTCCTGAGCTAATAATGGTTTTCTTTGCTTGTGGTGTTATTTTCCATAACAAATTGCAGATGAGATGGGCTTGGGGAAAACTGTTGAGCTGCTTGCATGTGTCTTTGCTCACCAGGTGACTTCATCAGCAATTGGCAGTTTGTCCAATTCAACACAGCTTGAGCAGGACCAGAGAAAAAACCTTAAAAGATTGAAGCGAGAAAGGGTTGAATGTATATGTGGTTCTGTGACTGAAAGCATCAGGTATAAGGGATTGTGGGTACAGTGTGATGTTTGTGATGCTTGGCAACATGCAGATTGCGTTGGCTATTCACCAAAAAAGCATAAAAGAATGAAAACTTCTGAGAAAGAAATGCACAGACAGGATTCATCAGGAAAATTGAAGAATTGTGCAAAAAGAAAAGGCAATGAAGAAATAGTTGAGATGGATGGGGTTCATATCTGCAGGGCATGCTCAGAACTAATCCAAGCCACTGAAGCACCCGTTGCATCAGGTGCAACTCTTATAGTGTGCCCTACTCCTATATTGCCCCAGTGGCATGCTGAAATTATTCGGTATTCTTGCTCTTCCTTTTTTTTTTTTTTTTTTTTCTTTTTAATACTTCATCACCTGATGGAAGCGTATTCTCAACTATTTCTTCCGCTGTGATGTTTTTCTGGCTTAGTGCTGTTATGATACATCTTTCTGGTATTATTTTTAGGCTATCCCGTACTTAACTGTTAATTTATGCAACCATATAAAGCCATGTCTATTGAGTGCTTACTTGTCTAGAGTTGTCTGCATCAGACTATCTTCTTTTTGCCTTTATATCTCTTATAATCTAAGATTGGGCCAGGGTCTCTCAATTGGGCTATAATACATGGGCCAAACCACACTAAAAGATTGAACCAGTGCGGGACTCTTAACACTCCCCCTCAAGTGGACAAACAACCAGGCCATCTTAACAAAGCTTGGACGCTACCAATACCCATAACTGGGTGAACACAAAGTGGACTGAACAGGCTCTGATACCAGTCACTCAATTGGGCTATAATGCACATGGGCCAAACTACACTGAAAGATTGAATCTAACCTATTAGCTAGTCTAACCCATGGCCTTATAAACCATATGTTATCTCTTATTTTTATCAATGTGGGACTCTTAACAATATCTTTTTCATTTTTATATGCAGCCATACAAAACCTGGTTCACTGAGGACATGCATTTATGAAGGTGTTAGAAACAATACTTTATCAGAGACACCTTTGATGGATATAAATGAGCTTCTCAGTTCTGACATTGTCTTGACAACATATGATGTGCTCAAAGAGGACTTGTCACATGATTCTGACAGACATGATGGTGATCGTCGCTTCTTGAGATTTGAGAAAAGGTATCCTTTAACCCTAGTTTCTAGTAATTTTCTTAGTTTTCCTTGTCTCTGGTTGCATGAAAAGGAATCATTTATAAATGGAATTCTGTAAATTTTTCAGTTCCCATGTGGAGCTAAATTGTTCTATTTTCCAGCTTAGAGATTAGTAATGTACTTCTTCAACCAACAACTTATGTGCCTGGTGCAGATATCCAGTTATTCCTACTCTTCTCACTAGAATATTATGGTGGAGGATATGTTTGGATGAAGCTCAAATGGTGGAGAGTAATGCTGCTGCTGCAACTGAAATGGCACTAAGGCTACACACAGTTCATCGGTGGTGTATAACTGGGACACCCATACAAAGGAGACTTGATGATTTGTATGGGCTTTTGAAATTCCTGAAAGCAAGTCCATTTGATGTTTTCAGATGGTGGACTGATGTAATTTGTGATCCATACGAGGTTTGTCAGTGTCTACATTCTTAGAATGTAACTAAATATTTTGCTATGTTAGAGCTGGAAAGTTCATCATTTATTGCAGATACATTGACAAATGCCCTCACCATTTTTTGGATATCTTATATATAATTATACTCCGTATCTTTTAGCTGTCTTCTAACTTTCTATCTGCCTCATTACTATTAGAAGCATGCTATTGTGTTATTCAACTTCTTGTCTATCTGGAAGATTTGTTTGATTATCATTGGAAAGCTTCAACATTTTAGAGCTTTTATTACATTTCTGCATTTTAAAAATTTTCATAGCAGCCTCTCTCTTTAACAGTTATTATTCCTCTTTTTTCTTTTTCCCCCTTTTACAGAGGGGAGATGAAGGAGCCATGGCATTCACACACAAATTTTTTAAACCGCTAATGTGGCGGTCATCAAAAGGGCATGTTGCTGAAGAGTTGCAGCTTCCTCCTCAAGAAGAATGTGTCTCTTGGCTTTCTTTGTCACCAATTGAGAAACACTTCTATCAGAGGCAACATGAAACCTGTGTTAATGATGCCCATGAGCTTATTGCAGATCTTAAAGATAATATTCACAAGAAGAAACCACAAGGTTTGTTGATTATTGATGATCATCTATTTTTCTGCATAGGGTTTGAACAAAAACTTTTGTGATTGTTTTAAATCATTCTTAGATTCCAATGACTCTTTATCTGGTGTTGTCATCACCAATATGGATGCTGCGAAGCTGTTCAACTCACTTTTGAAGCTCCGACAAGCCTGCTGTCATCCACAAGTGGGAAGTTCTGGGCTGCGCTCTCTACAACAGTCTCCCATGACCATGGAAGAGGTTCTGTCGGTATGTCCTTCTGTTGGGTCACATAGCTCTGATTTTCTTCAAAAGATAAAGCCTGTTATATGTGTATTTAAAGATGACTTCTTTTATGTAGGTTCTTGTAGGTAAGACCAAGGTAGAAGGAGAAGAAGAGCTCAGGAAACTAGTCGTTGCCTTAAATGCACTTGCTGGTATAGCTATTATTGAGAAAAATATTCCTCAAGCTATATCACTATACAAAGAAGCACTGGCTTTAACTGAAGAGCATTCTGAAGATTTCCGCTTGGACCCTTTGTTAAACATTCACATACATCATAATCTTGCTGAGATACTACCACAAAATTCTGATGGCTTGGAAAAGGTTCAATCTGCTCCTGGAAGCTCTAAAGAGAGTTCCTTCATGACAGAAGGTGTTGATGAAGACATTCAAAATTCATTAAAAAGTGAAACAAGAAGCATGGAGGCAGCAAATTTTACCATTAAGGACTTGTCCAATTCAGTGCTTGACTCAGCAACAAATTATTCTGGAGACGGAAGTTCTGATGTGGAACCTGAGAAGCAATGTCTGAATACATCATGTGAAAATTTAAAGCAAAGGTACTTGTCTGTGTTTAATTCGAAGTTGTACATGGCTCAACAAGAGTTCAGGAAGTCATTTGAGCAGGTACTTCATACCAATATTTTAAGTATTGCCTTGTAAAACCCTTTCTTATGCCATAAGCAATTTTCTTTGATGTTTCCTTTGAAGGTTTGCAATGCATTTAATGATAGAAAAAATCAGCATACAGCTTGGTGGTTAGAATCCCTACACCATATTGAGCAAAACAAGGACTTGTCGAGTGAGTTGATCCGGAAAATAGGAGAAGCTGTTTCTGGGACCCTGAACACTAATAGGGCATCAAGGATTGCCTCCTGGTTAGTGATTGATGTTGTTCTTGTATATTAGTTTTATTGTTTCTTGAGTCAATGGTAATTACTGCCTGATTACCAGATTTTTAGAAATACAAATAGTAGTGCTCTCTTCTTTGGTTGAGATTGAGAGCTACACTTCAAATTCTTTTTGGTGCATTGGGTCTGTATTTTAATTATTTGTTAACATTGATTGTTCTATGAATTTTTTTAGTATCTCCTCAATATATTTTATGACATCCTAAAATAAAAGGATAATTTTCAGAACACTTCTCACATGGCATATAAGACTCTGCCATGGGTCTAAAGCAACCACCATGGATTACTTCTGTGCCAAGTTGACATAAGGGCCAATTTCCTAAAACAGAAATTGACTTAAGGCATAAATCAAAGAATTGTTGCTTAAGTTTCTTGTATTCTTTGGTGCAGCTTCCGCAGCATAACTGCTCTGAAGTATTTTATTCAGACTGGTTTAGATTCATTGGAAGGTTCTAGGAAAACTTTACTTGATAGACTTTTGGAAATTGACCAAACAATGGGCAATCCCAGGAAGGAGGACATAGAACGTGTGAGATACTGTCCAAAATGTTATGCTAATACTGAAGGTCCTATGTGTGTTCACTGTGAACTTGACGACTTATTTCAGGTGTTATTTTCAAACTGGTTTTCCATTTAGCTTTGTTTTTGTATCTAATGCTTGCAGAATGTACCTTAATATTCTCTTTGTATGTGATTACCCTTTTCTAGGCATATGAGGCCAGCCTTTTTCGTCTTAATAAAGGAAAATATGGAGAGGCAATTACATCTGCTGAGGAGGCTGTTAACCTGCAGAAGAAGATGTCTGCGCTAAATCGTTTTTATTCGACATTGTCTCAACCTAACAAGAAGCCAACTTCATTGACACTTGAATATGAAGATAATGGAAGTAAGAGGGACACAGGAGAGAGAGTGATGGTGAGTAGTTATTGTTTATGCTTAATAACTTGTTTCCTCTTGCTACTTTTATTTATTTATTTATCAGAGTCAACTAGATCTTCTACACCTAGCAGTTCCTTTGTTGATTGTGGCATTCAAGATTAACTGAACTTTTTCTGCTCTTTGACTAAATTTTTGAAATTCTGTATGAGCTAGTGGCCAGCTTTTTCATCCGTTTTCCTTTATTGGTTTTATTTTTCTATATCCTGAACAGAAATTAACGTGAGGAAAGGTTAAGTTATTCGTTTTTACCTTAGCAAGACATTGTCTGTCAGAGATTAAAGGTTGTATAAGGCTATAAGCTGCTCGGGTTCCTTTAAAATCTGGGATGCAAGACTCATAATGCCATATGCCTTTAGAAATTTGGATTTGGTTCCTAGAATATGAATCTTGTCATTATTGATTATTACTTCTTTTATTGGATAGATGTCAATTTGCCCCTAACGTTTTGTCATGCACCAACTGTCGGTAATCTTGGCATGAATAGGTATCAAAATCACCGTCGGACCTGGAGGTGGTGCTGGGCATTATCAAGAGCAACTCAAGAGGTCTGTTAGATAGAGAGGGCTTGTCAGCGGCAACAAAGCAGCTACTTCTCCTTGAGGTGCTCCTGGATGAATACTCTTATATTAGAACAAGGAGAAACCCGTATTTTATTTTTGTATGATTCCTGGTTTTAGTAAGAAAACTCATATTTTTGAAATTGTATGTAGGCAATGCGAAAGGAGTATCCACAAGCAAGGTCTCTTGCAATTGCACAAGCTCAAGTTCTGCGTGCTTATGATGAAATTAGTATGGCAACCTCTCGACTGCGCTTGCGAGAAGATGAGAATGATAAATCGATTGATGCCCTAGACTTGGGAGAATTAGTTGTAGCTAGTGCTGAATTTTCTAGTGAAAAGTTTTTGGCTTTGTCTTCTTTATCCCGAGTAAAAGGGCAACTCCGCTATTTGAAGGTAACAAAACTTAATAGTTTGTTAGCATTCATCTTGAAAATTTGATAATAGGAATACTGCTTTCTTCACCGTTAAATCATTTTTAAACAAAACCTCTTAGAGTTGGCACTTGTGATTAGCTCATTGACTCTCATTCTACTTCTCTTTGTTCTGTTTGTGATCTCTTTTAGGGTCTAGTGCAATCTAAACAAAAACAGCAGGCAGAAAGCACAGATGACACAACTTCAACTCAAGCAATGGTGACATCCAGAACTTCCGAAGAAAATCAAAATGGAAGCTTCACGAAGGCCGAGGAGGATGCATGTCCTATTTGTCATGAGAAACTTAATAGCCAAAAGATGGTTTTCCAATGTGGTCATGTCATTTGTTGTAAATGTAAGTTTTTCTATTATCTTCCACACCCATCTGCATTATTAAGCTCAGCTGATGCATGTTTACACGGGAATATATGTGGAAAAGAGGCAAAAACAAAAAACAAAAAAAAAGATCAGATGCATATTATTGTGTTTCAGAACATGTTACCAATTTTCTTAATTCGACTGGGGTAAGATCAACTTACTTCCATGCACAATATGGGTGAAGGTATTAGTCTAAATGCAAACCTCAAGTAGTGGGGTGATGGTGAAATTAATGTGAATGCTCGACTTTTGTATCTCTACCTTTATCAGATGGTTTATTAATGTATGAAATTAAATAATTAATTGATATTAACATAACTGAGCTGGACGTGCCTTTAATATTCGCAGGTTTGTTTGCTTTGACTGAGCAGAGATCAGGTCACCTGGGAAAACCTGTTACTAGTTGGGTGATGTGCCCAACATGTAGACAACATACTGATTATAGAAATATTGCCTATGCTGTTGATAGGGAGCATAAATCAGACGAAATTCCATTTGACGCCAGTGAGAATTCTGAAGCTTCTATTACCGTTCAAGGATCTTATAGTACGAAGGTATTTTACCATTCCACCTATGATTGTGATAGAAGTGACTTGCCATTCTAAAAAACAGTCAGCCCGACTCCTTACCCTTTGAATTTATATATATATATGTTGTAAGTTAAACTTCTAGACTATGCAAATGCACCTATAGTTGTGATGGATGGTTTTGTAGGTTGAAGCTGTGACAAGAAGAATTTTATGGATCACTTCCAAAAATCTAACCGCGAAGGTCCTTGTTTTTAGCAGTTGGAATGATGTTCTTGATGTCTTGGCACATGCCTTTGCTGCAAACGATATTAGCTACATAAGAATGAAAGGGGGCAGGTAAACATTTTATTAAAACTTATTCAGTGCTTAATTTTGCAATTGTTCTATTGGAAATGAATTCACATTCAAAACATTGTTTGGAAGAGAGAATAAAACGAGTATGTCCACGTGTTCTTGCTGCATCTCACTCACTTATTCAGATTTCATAGACTAATGTTCATAGCGGTGGCCGTGCAGAAAAGCGCACGTTGCCATCAACCATTTCAGAGGGCAAAACAGTAATTCTATAGGACGCGGTAGGAGTGAAGACAGGCAGCCAGATGCCAAACCAGTTCAGGTCTTACTGCTCTTGATTCAACATGGAGCCAATGGCCTCAACCTTCTGGAAGCCGAGCACGTGATTCTTGTTGAGCCATTGCTCAATCCAGGTGCAGAAGCACAAGCCATTAGCAGGGTGCACCGGATAGGACAAGTGAAGAAAACCCTCGTCCATCGTTTTATAGTACGTATCCTCTCCTCAATATACTATACATGCGCGTGAATATAATGTAAACACAATTGCGAAATCAACCCTTTGATGCCCTTGAAATAGGTGAAGGACACAGTTGAAGAGAGCATATTCAAACTGAACAAGAGCAGGACTGCAGATTCATTCGTTAGCGGAAACCGAAAGAACCAAGATCAGCCTGTTTTGACACTCAATGACATTGAATCCTTATTCAGAGTGGACCAAAACCCTTCTGGGAGCTTGATGCATTTGCCACCATCTGTTGCTGCTGCTTTAGCTGCTGAGAGGAGGCTAGCAGAGAACACACCATCAAGCTAAGACCTTTCACTTGCAATATATATATATATATATATATATATATATATATCAAATATTTTCTCAACCTTCCACGGTTCCGCCCTCAATTTCCCACCAGCTTCTATCATTCTTGAAACCTTGTCGCTACCAAGTCAACAGGCCAACTAATTTAACTAGGGTTGGCCCTAACAGTGTAGACTTTTTGTTATAGATTATATCGTCACTAAACTACATTGTACATTTAACTTCTTCTCCACATTCAGGTAAAATAGTACTGTGTTCAGTTTCTTTTCACATTCACAGATTCAGTAGTAGGCTCTTGTAAACCATAGTGTTGTATCATAGCTTCATAGAAATCTCTATTGATAACAATCACAATTGGTGGTTTATCTTTTGTATGATGGGTGCAAAATGTTTTCTTTTAAAGCACTATAGGCATATAATATGATCTACTAATTAACTTACAAATGGAAGATACTTATGGTTGTGTACTTGTGTTTGGTTTGCACATGGGAATCACAATCGGAATCGGAATGAGAATCAAATATTTGGTAATGATAATGGGTTTTGGTGAAAGTATTTTGCATGTTCGGTAATAAGGTAGAATTGAAATGATTACCAATAGTGATGTTTGGTTGTGTATTAACATATTGGGTCTATAATGATTTTGTCTCAAAAATATTTATTTTATCAAAAACTTTTTTAATTATATCTGATATTGTCATATTGATACTGATTGAATGAGGGAAGAAAAATATCTTATAATCCTGATAAACTTTGCTATCTTACCAGGTAAATTGGCATGGGCACAACTGAATGGCACCTTTTATATTATGGCCGTTGATTTCATAATTGATTACGTATATCCGCACGACAGGACAATCGCAGCCGCATGATTAGTCCGACAGGCATGGAGGTAAGTCACGTAAAACAAGCGCGCCGCAATTCTGTTGCTCTATCCACTGTCTTCCATGTGGCACCACATCTATACAACGTGGCGTCTTTGAATTGTGCACCTCCACGTGGATCAAATACATGACGTGGCGCTCAATTCTACTGCCACGTGTCCCCCCCCCCCCCCCACCAATTACCGTGTAGACGCTTCTATATATGTCGTGCCGAAATCTTACTCTTCGTAGGAACCAAATCTATTTATATTCGATTTCTCCAAACAAACCCATATCTTTTCATCTGATTTAAATTTCTGTTAATCTACCACTCAAGAACTAACTGAATTATTTAGTTTAATCTGTTAGCTATGGAGGCTTGTCTATCCTCCTCCATCAAACCCAGAATCAAGATTTCTCCAGTTCCGGCATTGCCCCGCCACGTCCACGGCGGCAGTAGGCGGTTGCAGAGGTCGACGACGGCGGTGAAATGCGGAGGAGGGGGTAGTTCAGTGCCGGAGTTGGAAAGGAAACTGGAGGAAGAATTGGCCGGAATGGGAAGACTGAGAGGGAAGTGCTGTGAGGTGAATGGGGTAGCTGAGCTGTTGGAGTGTCTGGAAAGAGAAGCCATCATGGGAGATGATGAAGGAAGAGCCCCAAATGATTACAATCGAAGGGCCCAGATTTTTGACAAAAGTTCAAGAATTTTCCAGGCTCTCAAGGAAAACAGTAGCACCAGTGATCCCATTCTTGATTCCTCTCCAGATTAGATAGTGTTTGTGTATCATTGTACTAATATAATATAATATAATAATCATGGAATCAAATGAAAGGTGTTATCATGTCAGGGAAGATCCTTTTTTTTTTTCCCTATTCATATCATAATAACTTCAATAAGATTAAAACAAGTTCTATATAAGGGAGAAGAAGTTAAAGGGACCTTGACATCTGGGCAGGGCTGTGCTGCTTGCTCTCTTCCATGATCTTTGCTGGTTTTCGACCCTTGTCTGGACCACCGATAATGCCCCATCTCTCGAACTGCCTTTGACGAGCTCTGGCTCGCTCTTTCTCTTCTTCAGATTTCGACGAGAAACAGTATGGACAGGAGACACCGTACTCCCACTCTGGAGCCTCCATGTCTGCATCGCTCACCGGTTGCTTGCAGCCATAGCAAAGCTTGAATGTGCCTTGGGCCAAACCATGTTCAACTGAAACGCGTTTATCAAACACAAAGCATTCCCCCTCCCAGAGGCTCTCTGTCTCGGGAACTTCCTCGAGATACTTCAAAATCCCTCCTTCCAGATGATAAACCTGGTAATCAAACAATCAAGAACGGGCAGAAAACATAACAGTTTGCATAAAATCTGGGATAACAAATGCTAGTTTAGGCATAACAGAATCTTGGGCAAATTTATAAATGAAAGAGGAAAAGGTTACCTCTTCAAACCCGTTCCTTAGGAGCAAACTTGAAGCTTTCTCACAGCGAATCCCACCCGTGCAGTACATTGCCACTTTGGGCAGTGGTTTCTTTTCCATTTCCGTAACTTGCTTTTCTGAATGCATCTGATTTTCCGACTCTCCAAGTTCAAAGCGATCCTCAACCCAGGTTGGGAAATCCCGGAATGCAGCGGTACATGGATCTACTGCACCTTTGAACTTCCCAATTCTCGTTTCATAGTCATTGCGCACATCAATAACAACCTAATGAGTAATGCAATTAATTCAGTCCAATCCTAAGTCAAGATTCAAGACCAAGAAATGGCAATTGCTAGCTCGAGTGTTAAAATGCTCAGTTGATATAGAATGCAAAAATAGATGTCGATCTCATCCCATTGTAACAGGAAACGATGCAATATGTCTAAAGTTTATTGCTTTGTACCATTAATGCTAGAAATTCAAAGATTGAAATGATGATATATAACATATACGCAAAGCAACTTACAACATCTGGATCACTTATCAACGCATTCCAATCCTTTGGCTTAATGTATTTGCCAACTCTTTCAATTGGCGAGACGGATGGCATGCCAAGCGTGACTATCTGCCAAAAGAACAGTAAAATTGAATCTAAATCGGCATCCCATGCCTGAAGAACAAACTCTAACAACAGAGGAACGGTGTTGCACTCAAAAGCAGTAAATAACAAGTCATTGTTCGAATTTAGTTCGTGTTACCTCTTTCTTCAGCTTAACCCTAACATGATCCCATCGAAACGGAGCATCTTCACCAGCAGCAAGAGGGGAGCTGCTCGTATGTCCTTGATGAATAGCCTCTTCCTCAGGACTCACTGGTGACTCCACCCGTCTAAGTCCCTTTAGGCGGTCATCACGTTGAATGAATGCAAGAACCTCTTCCACTGATTCCCGGGTGCCACATACGCTGCCATTTATTCCTTCTGGTGCAAGAATAATACCACCTGACACGAGCTGAATATGATCAGCTTGGTAAGGTACCAATGGCAGGGAAAAACCACAATTAACTAAAAATTTGCAGTTAAAAGTAAAATGTAAGTACTCAGAAAAACCATATACTAATATTGGTGGTAATTATTGTAAAAAATGCAATTTTTTTTGTTGTCGTGTATGTCCCATATGTACGGGAAGATGATAGGTGTTGGACATATATTACGGGTTAGGGTAACGTTGTACATTACCTTGTTAACTTGTTTAGAGAGGGTTACATTACATATAAATATGATGCATGATCACAATTAATAAAAGAACAGTTTCGCTACCTTAGCCATTATTTTTCAATTCTTGTTCTTGATTATTTTTCTCAACTTTTTTCAGTAAAGGAAGCAACTTTCTCATTTAAGCTTTGAATTATAACTATGAATCACCAACGGGCTGTATTTAACCTTTGAATTATAACTATGAAAGTGATTAAGAAAGCCTTCAAACTTATTAAACTAAGCAAAACACCAATCAAGATCGAAATTGACTATAGAGATAGTTAATGTAGGCATTTCTACAGTGAGAAAGCAATATACCAGTTGCTCACAGAGCTCCTTCAATGGCTTCCTAAGCTCGGCGTGGTCGGGAAAATCCGCAAACTTATAGAAGGAAACAACCACCAGCTTAGGCTCCGTGCTGGTGGAGTCGGACTCTTCATTTCCCAATTCGGCCGCCGGCGGAATGGGAATAGAATTCGTGGCAGGTGTAGAAGCGAAGCATTTGGAGATAGTAGCATTTTGAGCTGCGGTGGAGAGAGCGATTTTGGGATTGGAAAAGAAAGGGAAGCTTAGCGCCGCCGCTGATGGTGGTTCCGAGGTGGATTTCATGGCGGGACGGCGGAGGATAGGGTTAGGGTTTGGGGAAATAGTTGAGGATGTGGACATCATTCTCAGCGCCGCCACTGACGCCGTTCTCCTAAAGGAAGGGATAACCGCTTGCATTGAGACGGTGACGGTCGCTTCCATCTCCATCCATTTCTTGCCTATGATGTTTTATTATTTTTTAATTAATATTCATCTTCTGTAACTGTAATTGAATTTGAATTCTCATCGTTTGAACCTATGATCGAGACAACTATGGTGTTTGATCACAAAGTCTTTGAGAATTTACTAGTACGGTAAAGTAATCTCAGCCCGACAATTATACTGCTTGACTAGTACGGAGAAATAATCTTAGCCTTATTATATGAAGAGAATCATATGAGAACAAACTTTCAGATTATTACCGTGCAATTTTTAACACTATATAATGCACTTCTTAAGATTATTACAAAATGCACATTTTATTGTTAAAAATGCACTCCATAATATTAAAAAGTGGGTATTATAAATTACACTTTATAATACTTGAGTCAATTTTAAAACTCTATTGCAAGTCCAGAGACACATCACATGACAAAAGGTTGAATTTTCAACCTTAAGAGCTTCACATCCCGGTCTGACAGAGCATTTGTGAGAATGTAAATTATGGTGACTCAATGATTCAGTAGACAGGATCAAATGTCGGTGCGCACAAAAGATCTATCCACTTTGACTCATAATTCTCACACTGTCGCTATCGAGGTTCGAATTTTAGTCTTTTCTCTTAAATATTGCATACTGAATCAATTGACGTTTAAATTTAAGACCTCCCTTATCTTTACTTTACAATATATTTTGGGGAGGGGAGAGATCAATAGAAGGTTTCTTGACATTATTAGGTTACAAATTCTAATGTATAAGAATCAATTTTATTTGTGATTTAACTTGTATAAACCGACCATTTGAGATAAGATCTAATATAGAGCATACAAATAGAATCTTCCGTTCGCAATTTTCAAAGGTTAGGTGCCAAAAAGCTACAAATGTGCATCTCTATTGGTTGATCGAAACTCGAAAGTCAATTAATTCGTCCGTTGGGAAGAACATGAATAATTATTGGTTATGGATATAGTGTGATTCGATCAATTGCAAAGATCTTTGCTATTTATTCTTTTAAAAAAATATTATGTGTATTCCTATTTTCACCCCTAACTTGTAATTCCACGCACAAAATCTTAAAGTAGATATTTGTATTGAGACTCACATGAAAAAAGTAATTTATCATATTCCGTCACATCATAGAATAAGATTTGAGAGTACCAGTATTGAATTAGAAATTCTCATCTAGTCATGTTTGTTGATGATTGATTAAGTGCATGGAACTGTAGCATTTTAATAAATTATTGGAATAAGGGTCAAATAGGCCACTCAACTGCACACCAAAGTGTAATTAGGTTATTGAACTCAAAAAGAATGCAATTAAGCCATTGAACAACACAAAAACATGCAATTTAGCCCAAAATGACTTGTTTACCTATAGTAACAAGTTACCAATTTCAAAATTAATTTTTTAAAATAACTTTTAATAAATAATTAATTAAAATATTAAAAAAAAAAAAAAAAAAAAAAAAAAAAAAAAAACAGAAACTTCCGGCCGGAGACGAATCGTCTCCGGCCGGCTTTGTCTCCATGGCCGGAGACGAACCTCCGTCTCCAGCCATGGAGACAAAGACCTTGGTCTCCGGCCATGGAGACGACGTCCTTCGTCTCCATGGCCAGGGAGACGAAGGTCTTTGTCTCCATGGCTGGAGACGGAGGTCCGTCTCCGGCCACGGAGACGTAGCCGGCTGGAAGTTTCTGTTTTTTTTTTTTTTTTTAAATAATAATTTAATTATTTATTTATTAAAAATTATTTTAAAAAATTAATTTTGAAATTGGTAACTTGCTATTCTAGGTAAACAAGTTATTTTGGACTAAATTGCATGTTTTTGTGTTGTTCAATGGCTTAATTGCATTCTGTTTGAGTTCAATGGTCTAATTACACTTTGTTGTGCAGTTGAGTGACCTATTTGACCCTTATTCCTAAATTATTAAATATATGAACATGTCATGTAATAGTATTGAAAAGAGATTGCAGACATGATATTTCTTAATACAGTAATTGCGTTGATTCATCGTCTTTATTTGAGGAAGCAAAATGCCAATAGACAATATTGTTGTGGAAAGACATGACACAAATTCCTATCCTTTTTCTTGACTAAAAATTGAATTCAATTTCTATGTCAATACTATTTAAATATATACTTTTAATACGGAGTATATAATGCGGAGTAATACAAAGCAAAATTTTCCGGTATCCCTTATTAAAATAATAATATAATAAGATGGAGATGTATTGATGTAAGCCACACCTGCCATCACCGTATGAATATAAATCTATATCAAGTTGTTCCGAAATGGGTGGTTGAATGGCTAATTTTTATAGACTTTCTCTCGGTCGACTTGTTTGCGTAGTCTTCTTTGGGTAGATTGTAGGCTATTAGCCAACGCAAACCATTGAATAGTGGCAACGAATTTCTATCCTTACTCAATATATATATATATATATATATATATATATATATATATAGTAAGGTTCAAGTACGTCGATATTCTTTGATGCAGCAGTGCAGCGTCACCAATAGTTCAACAAATATATACCATCAAAGTTAGGAAAATGCACTATAAAAACACACACAAATTAGGTACGCATCACAAAAAATACATTATTAGGTGTGAGTAAAAACATTATACAGTGTTCGGAAATACACCATTGGGTGTTGTGAGTTATATGGTGTATTTTATTTGGGTCTGTTCTGTTTTTTTTTTTTTTGTGTTTTTTTTTTTTTTTGCATTTCATTGTGGTGTGTTTCCCTTACACTGTTGGTGCATGTTGTTAACACTGTTGGTGTATTCTGAAATTTCGCCACACCGTTGCACCTAAGGACATCGCCGCATTTGAATTTTTTTCTATATATATAGAGGGAGATCAAACTATATGAAGAATTAAACAAGTGTTTTATCTTAAATTTTTTAACATGATACATATATACAAAAATAAATTATCAAACTTGTAGACTCTGTTTGGTAGAGCTTATTTATGAGCTTATAGCTTATTTTAAGCTACTAATAAGTTATAAGTTCTGTTTGATAATGTTCCCAAAATAAGCTCGTAGTTTCAAATAAGAGCTTATTTTGGAACGCTACCTTAGGCAGCGTTTCAAAATAAGTTAGGAGCTTCCTAACATTTTTTTCATTTTTATCATTATTATTTTAAAAAAATACCATCATTTACCCTTCCCAATTAAAAACTATTTACTTCTCCTTTATCTACAACTTTCACGACAAATCCTTTATTATTATTATTAAACATTTTTAAAGAAATGACAAATCCTTTATCCGCACCTTTATCGTTTATTATTATTATTATTATTTTAAGATTGATTATCTAATATATATGATGAATAGGATGAAGATGTTATGAGATGCTAGATCGTAATTATACTAATCGTTTTATTTCAAAATGTTAAATTTTGTTGAAAACAAAATGTTAAATTTTAATATGTAAACAAAATACTTTAAATATTTTGAAGATGTCCTTTTTAGTGTTTTTACATTTATTAGCTTATCAAAAAGTTAATTTTACCAAACACTTTCAACCATAACAGCTAGCTTAACAGCTCTTAAATTTTCAACTCCTAGCTTATAGTTTTTCAGCTTTCAGCTCCTAGCTTGTAGTTTTTCAACTAAGTTTGCCAAACAGAGCCGTAGTAAACAAATTTACCGGATTATATATATATATATATATATATATATATATATATATATATATATATATATAAACGGTTAGATTGGATTAAAAATCCAAACAAATATACACACAATAGATATACAATAGATATCTTTATCTGATCTGATGCATACATTGCATCCGGACAAAATTCTATCTACTATCAACACTACAGTCTACAGGTACCACTACCTATATGTGCATGCGTGAGAAATCTGAGGCATATAATTCCATTGATTGGTTAATCAATTTAAAATAGATTCAAATTATTTACTTTATTAGTAGTCGTAGTATGTAAGGAATGAATTTGACGGTCTTATAGGTAAAAACGGTGATGAATCCTTAAATTTGAAATTAAAACTCGTATATCTCTGTGTGTGTGTAACATATGAGTTTGACTACGTAGACGACTATGCCAATCAAGATAACTAGTGGTTTCAAAAAAAAAAAAAAAAAATTACTTCACGATAATCAGAAATTTTTTTATTAAAACCAAAAAAAAAAAAAATTAATATAACCATGATTGTTAAAAAGTAATTTCGGAAACAATGAAGATGTTGTTCTTGTTGAATTTCTTTTAAAAAGAAAAAAACAAATCATTTTCTTTAGCTTCTTTCCCCACATCTTCCAATTTCCCTATCCTTCTCTTTTCTTTTACTTCTGTTCAACCTCACGGTAGTTGAAATTTTTGAAATTTATAGGAATTTTTGTCCTTTTCACGAGTGGTCGGAAATAAGTAAATTTTCAATCATGATTAATATTGCTCTAAAATGACGATTGACTTAAAAAAAAAAAAAGTAAAAAAAATGTGTATTATTGGGCATACGAGGATTTATAGCGGATAGATAATAGATTATATAAATATAAAAAGATAAAGTGACTATCATGTGAGACCGTCTTACGGATTCTTATTCGTGAAACGAGTCGAGTCAAGATGAAAATTAATACTTATATTTAAAAATGTAATATTAATCGGGAATAAAGTGTTTGTTACTTATAAGAAAAAGTGTACCAAGTGCATTTTAATGTTTGAAAAAATTATCAAATACTATCCTATTTCTTCTTTCATTGCTTTATGTCAATTAAATTTTTTTAGATTGATTCTTAATTTTTTTTGTTGAGAACATAAACTTAATTTATCAAAAGTATTAATAAGAATTAAACTAATGACATTTTAGTACTAATTAAAGTCATGCGCCATTGTGTTGTGTTGTATAAAATTAAGAAGAGCTGTGGGGTTTGTTATATATTTATCATGGCCTATTGGCCATACACCAAGGGAAG